AATGCTAAAAATGATTGAGGAAAGTCAATATCAAACTACTAATGCTTTGAAATAGCTAATCTCATCTCAAAATTCATCTTCTTTTGTCTATATTCCCCTCCCCGGTTCGAGTTGTGAGCCGCCCTGAGTCCCCTTCGGGGGGAAAGGGCGGCATACAAATTTAATAAATTGAATTGAATTGAATTGAATTGATTATAGGCCAATTCCTAGCTTCATTTGGTTGAGAAAAATGAGACCAAAGAAGATGAATTTTGAGATGAGATTAGCTATTTCAAAGCATTAGTAGTTTGATATTGACTTTCCTCAATCATTTTTAGCATTCCATAAAGTCACTTTGTGGCCATTAGAGATATTCTGTTTGCCAGAAGAAGCAATTGAACTTGTGTCAATGGTTTACAAGCATTGTAAGATGTGGAGTTGATAGTTTGGATAGTTTTAATATATACAGCCTTTACAGAATAGAATATATTTGAGATTCAATTCTGCTCCCAACTGAGATGCATTTGTCATTTAGAGTAAATCTCAATAATTTAATCTATATTCAGTCCATAAATTCAAATTTTCCTTTTTATTGTCATTAGAGGAAAAAGAGAGATAGTTTGGTGTGTGTCCAGCTCCAAATCCCTAGGTAATTTTTCTAAAATTTGCATATAGATTACTGAAATTATATGAGTGATTAGGTAGAGCTTTTAAAGACCTGAAAGGCCAACTAAGTCACTGTAATATCAACATAACTAACACATGAAGTAATGCTGAAGGAAAATGCCTCTGAATGTGCCTTACCAATTAAGAATTGTAATTTTTAGTCTAAAAGATAGAAAAAATACTGTTGCCTACTCATTATATAACATGGTGAATGCAAGCCTATTTGGAATAATGAGAATATGATAATTTTGTATATTTAATTGAACATTTGAGAACAAAAGAATACAATAAAATATTGCTTTGTTAATTGTTCTCCTTGTAAATAATACTTATGTACGGGTATAATGGGAAACTGCTAAAATAGTTATTTTGTTATTTATATATAGGTATGTGAATTATTATAGCTTAGAAAAATGGTAAACAAAACCTCTTTAGTTTGTTCAACAAATAATAGCAATACTACTTAGACTTACAGGTATATACTGCTTCATGGTGCTTTTACAGCCCTCTCTAAGTGATTTATACAGTTAGCATAATCCCCCCCAACAATCTGGATCCTCATTTTACCCACCTCGGAAGGATGGAAGGCTGTGTCAACCTTGAGCTATGTGAGATTCGATCTGCCAAATTGCAGCCAGCAGACGTATCCTGCAGTACTACATTCTAACCACTGCAGCTCTTTTAATGTTCTTTAAAAACTTGTATTTAATAGATTATATGAATTAAGTGAAATGAAGTTACCCTTAAAGGTAGTCTTGCTTCACAACCATTCAATGTTACAACAGATTTCAAAAAATCATTTATAACCCATCCTCAAAATTACAAGAGCTGCATCCGCATACTTCCATGGTCACATGAGTGCATTTTAGCCACTTAGCAACCAGTTTGCATTTACAACTGATTGTAACCCCCCTTGTTCATATGGCCACAATTTGTAATTTTGTTTTGCCATTTTTTGGGGGGGAAACCCAACTCTGCCCATTGGATATGCTTGATTTGGTTAATCACTATATGACTCACGTAACAACCATAGGATTTGCTTTAACTGAACCATTCACTTAATGGCCATCATAAGAATATTTGAAAAATTGAGTAATGACCCATTTAACAATGGTAACAACTTATGACCCAAATTCCATGCTCGCAAGTTGAATGTAAATACATGTAGACTGATTGTTGTTCATTACATCATAAGACAAAGGATTATGAATAGACTCTATACATTATTTCTCTTTTTTATCTCATATAATTATTTCAGAATCTTCATTTGGAGTTGTAGAAGGCATGAGCACTGGTTTATTCTTAATAATTATGGTTATGGCTATCACTGGATTGCTTGTTTGCAGACGAAAAATAAAGTGAGTTGAAATTTATTTTATATTACATTCTTCCCTGTGTCAAAGGGAGTTTTACTTTCCCAATGATTGTGCAATAATTCCCAAATGCTACATGTATTTAAATCAAGATATATGGATAGATATTCACTTAATGATTTGGTGGCATAAGTCAGAGCCAACTTCCATGGTGTGAAGATGAGATGAATCATGTACAAGGCTACAATGAAACAGAAGGTTGTAATGTTAGAAAGTTCCATTTGTTTTCATTGTTCTTGCAACAGATATTATGAAAGAAAGTCCATTTCCTGGTCAAACAAAATAATATTTTTTCTTCTAAGCATTACGTATAATCCTGATCAAATTCTTGTTTTGCAGAACTGGCCATGAAAGAGCAACAGCAAAACTAAGCATTCGTAAGGATAGGCCATCAGTTCATTTGAATTTGGGACAAAAAGGGTAATGTTGATTACTTTGCATTTTGCCTACCATATGGATGGTATCTTTACTAAATCACCAGCTGACCTGTAATTTTTTTCTTCCCCAAACATCTTAAAGGAACCGGAAAACATCCAGGTAAGAGCCAATACTAAGTCACTTAAGATAAGAATTTTTTTCATTGATTGTTTATTTCTTCCCTTGCTAACATATTTTTCTTCTTTTTGAATGTTTTAGCCTAATAAAAGTAAATCAATT